ACAAAATTGTTACTTTTAGCTCTAGAATCTTCCAAGAACCTCAGACAAGACCCTTTTGTGTGAATTCACAGAGGACCACTAGAAGAACTATGCTTACAGGCAAGTAACCTCTTTTTTTGACATTTTAGTCAAAGTGGATGAAGCGATGGAGTGGGATGGTGTGGTTGATGGACGTTGTTCGAGGCTTCAGAAAGAGCCTTCTCCATAGCTTTGGGTTGTGAGGTGGCCTTACAAGGAGGTTGGGCCATTTTGGTTTGGTTGAAGGGATTGTTCCCAAAGAGTTTTAATCTGGATAAGTGAGAACAGAGGACTCCACGCTTGAAGTTCTTACAATGCTGACAGGAGGACGTTTGGTGTGCCTCTCCCAAGCAAAAAAGACACTTGCCATGGCTGTCGGAAAGTGGTATTTTGTTATCACAGACCACACAGTGTTTAAATGGGCCCAAAGGGGCCATGAATAGGAGAAAAATAATTTGAGGAGAAAAAGCAATGACTGGAGGGGGGAGGTGCTGTGGCCAGTGGCCGAGCGAAGCAGAAAGGAAAAAAATCACTGATGATAATGAATTTGATCTAAAAGGAAAAAAGATTGATAACAGGAAGGAATCAAGAATAAACTCTCTCTTTTACTCACAGAAGCAGAACTATGAGGCTCTGAACATGGTGGTTGAAAGAAACTGAAAGGGAAGCCTTGGTGTCAATGTACTTATACAAGGAGGGAGCGGCCTTATTATTATGTGGTTTTGCTACTGCAGAAGCTCTAGAACTTTTCGATGAGGCTCCGCGCAGATGCGGATCACCTGGAGTGTGATTCACAGAGGCCACGAAGAAGAACTAGTTTTTGCTGCTTTAGAGAAGCAGAACTATAACAGAGAAAAATTACCTGGCTCAGAGAATGACAGTTTCTGTCAGATCTATGTGAGCTTGCTTCTCCTAGGCACTGCTACCCAGTGAAAACCCTGGATCTTTTAAAAGGAAGCTTGAAAAGCAAGCCACCCCCTTCAATCTATGTCACTGTTAATACGACATCCTCAATTACAGTGGGCCCTTGACTTACAGACGGCTTGACTTACAGACTTTTTGAGTTACAGACTTCTCTGGCCGCAAAATTTAGGTTTGACTTGCAGACTGAGATTTGACTTACAGACCAGAAAAAAACCAAAATGGAACAAAAACGGCCTGTTACGGGATTAATCGGTTTTCAATGCACTGTAGGTCAATGGAGACTTGACTTACAGACTTTTTGACTTGAGAACCGCCTTCCAATACGGATTAAGTTCTCAAGTCAAGACCCCACTGTAGCTTATGTAGCTTTGTGGTAAAATAACAAGTAAGGACACTTCACATATATTTCAAAATTTAAGTTGCACTAGTGCTGGATATCATACATTATGAACTCAATATGAGGAAAAAATAAGCAATACACGTTTTCACTTGAAATATTTATTGAAACTGTGCGAGTTCCATAAAGGTGAGTAAAACAATTTTTTTTGTAAAAAAATTTCAATAAAATTTCTTGCAGACATAAGTCATACAATAAAAAACAATAGAAAAACAAGAAATGCCCAAACATACAGGTGTGCCTTGAGAGAAATAAGACTGATAAAAAAATCTTACACATATTTAGACATCATTGACCCTTGCAAATATAGTACACAGTTTACCAAATCAGGCATGGATTTTTCCATAACTTTTATCTCTAGTACTGCAAAAAGTAGGAAAGCCAGCCTCTAGCAAGAGAAGGTAAACCCTGAAAGGAAATGCATCACATGCCACTGGCAGTGAATTGCTGCATTAAAATCACGCTACACAATATCCAGAGTTAAGGGTGGTAGTAGGAAAAATACATTTTCAGGAATATTTTGTCTGCATTTGAACACATGTAAATAGGACACTGATAATGAAACAAAAGGATGAGGCCAAAAATCAAAGAAAATACTCAGCCTAAGGAACTAATCTATTACCGAGTTCTTTGCCTTTTTGTTATCTAGTACCGGAACTCTGTATTAATTAAGGAAATATAACTTTCACTTCCGATAATGCTTTTACATGCTCCAAATATCTGAAGGTTTTAATTATCCACAGCTGTATTCTGCAACAACTTCTAGTATGAAATGCATGTGATGAACAATACCTTGAAACTTGCCCAAAGACAGTGATACAGCTACATCAACATCTAGCTAAAACAATACATATAACTCTTCTCTCAAATGGCTCAATTTCAGGTCACTAACAACTTACAAACAGCCATTTAATGAAAGAGAATTTCATTCCCAGATGAAGAACAATAAGCAGCCATGTCCCAAAAGGGAGTGTTTTTTTTTTAAAAAAAGCAGCAATAGCCAATAAAATGACAGTTTCCATATAATCATTCTAGCAACAATAGTTGTATTTCAATAGTTGAGACATGATTCTATTACTCTCTGAGGCATTTGCAGTATACACTGGAGTACATCCTACATACATGTCAGCTTCCTGACCTCTACCAGTATTTCTATGTCCCTTCGTTTAGAAAATCATATATTGTCAGGTTGAAATCCAATGTTGTATGAGTAGACTTCAGGTCATGCAGTGACATTTCTCCCTCAGGTTCCTTGTACCTGCCTTCTTCTGCTCTCCAAACCTTAAAATGTAGAGGGTTGTCCAACCTGCAGAACAGAACAGGGACTTCAGACCTCTCCCACCCTTGCAATTAATCTTCATTTTCTTCATCTTTTCTCTCTCCAAATCGACCTGCAAGTTTGCAGGTGAGAATGGAGAAGAGATGAATTGCTGATGCATTTGCTTTCATGCTTCTTTCCACTTATTTCCCAGGGGTTTTCTTGTACATGAACCACCTGACACACACAGAACATGGCAACTGGAATATATACAAAGAAGTTGCACGCCTACCACTTAACTGACAAAATGACATAGTATTATCTTTATATATAGACTTGGAAATCATGGCAGATAAAAAATAGGAAATTTGGTCTCATTTTAAATTAGCTCATTTTAAATGTAGCTTCATTCTTGTTAAGATCTCATTATTCCCCTCCATCCTCTCTGTATTCTACCTCTCTTAAGCTTAATTACTCAAATGTCACAGATAGCAGCACAGGCCACTGAATGTGAACCAAGATTTCAGTGAATAAGTAACTGAAATGCTAAAGGATATTGAGAACATTTTGTTTACTTAAAACATTACTTGTTCTGGGCTAACAGTTAAGCAGTCTCATTCAAATGGAAATTTTCTAGACAAGCACTTGATGTTCATGGTATACATTCCTTAGCATTTTCCACTGTTTGTTCAAATTATTACAACCATGAGAGTTAAATAAATAGTGCTCTCTTAATGTAATCTAGAGTGTCAGCTTTCCAGTACAAACCTAAAGGCCACCCTGACATGCAGTAAGGACCATGTGCTATCTGCCCGTCTTTGTTCTGGCATGGGAAGTCATGCCACTTTTTTCTGGAAAAACACATCTTACACATATTCATTGAAACAATGAATCCAGAATTTTAAGTAATTTCAAAGACCTATGTTTTATACACAATTCCAGAGAGTTTGGCCCTTTGATATGTAATAGAAATTTCATTAGACAGTCTGGTAACTAAAAACGTTTGGCAATGTAACATAAAAAGTGGAACCAGACAGAAAACAGAATGCAGGTATCTCTCATACACAAGAGTAATGTTTCATAAAGACATATTTCACAAAGTCAAGAAATGTTTCACAACCACAAGAAAAACTGGTGCATGTCCACTAGAGTTAAACACAATAAAAGTATCATACTGCTTGAAATCTGACTTAGTTTTACTAATTACACTATTTCCCCACATCTGGCAACACAAACTTCAATTGGAAATGTCCAAATTAAGTGAAGTAAGAAATCCACTGACCTCTTAATATTTTGGGGATTGATATTTTGGGGATGGTTCTAAGTCAATCCTGCTGTGTTAATAAAACAGATGTTTTGCAAGAAGAAACAAAGTTGTGTCAATACAATATAGCAGTGATTTCCAACCTCAGGTCCACATATGTTCTTGGACTAAACCTCCTAGAAGTCTTCACCACTAGCTGTGCTGGCCAGGATTTCTGGAAGATGTAACTCAAAAACATCTAAGGACCAAAGATTGGGAACCACTGCAATAGAGAATTGGGGTATAACATGTAACACTATAGAATTCCAGATGTGCGAATTTGTTAATCTGTTGCAGCAAAGTCAATGAAGTCTTACAGCACCTTAGACAAATGAATACATTGTAGAATAAACTTTTGCATTTCAGAGCCAACTTATGCATATGAACAAAGTGGTCACCTAATTAGGTAGGTACATGGACTTGGGGTACAAAAGGTTTTAAAAAACAAACATGAAGCGAGGCAAAAAGGCCAAACCATGCAGTAGATAGTAACATGTCACCTTAAGCAAAAAAGAACACAAGATCCAGTTATTGCAAACATGACCTTCTCATGGCTAGTGATCACTGGTAAACAGGCATATCAAGATTAACAGCATAATACTGTTGCTATGCCTGTTTATCACAAATGGCTGCCAACTTGTGAGTGGGCCATGCTATTGCTACAGTATTTTTGTTAGTATAAAGCAGAGGTGGGCAAAGTGTGGCTTCCAGATATTGCCGAACTTGCAGCTTCCGTTAGCTTTAGAAAGCACAGCAAATGGTGAGGAATGCCAGAAGTTGCAGACCAACAGTATCTGCAAGACCCCACTCTGCCTAATTCTGGTCTGAAGACAGAAGAAAAGTTAACTTTTAAAAGGTCAACTTTTCTAAACTGCATAGGTATGGTAGCCCTAGTTCCTTCTCATCAACTCCATGTCAAGAATAATTTTAAATTACGTAGGTCTTTTCCAACAGAAATGTACAGCTCTGAAGATGTTTTGGAATTAGAAGTTTTGGGTTTTCTAGCTTATTTTGTTGTATCTCAGTAAATATGCTTTTGTAGCCAGAATAGTTTCAAACTCTCTACAAGCAGATTTCATAACAGAAACATCCTCCTACTGTTCAGTGTTAGACAGTTATAGTTTATTTTTGAAAAACAGAACAGAAGAAATGAAATGGGCCACATGTGCAGATCAGTACTAAGACACCAAAGGTCCTTAGCGTGACACCCTAACTATATCGCTAGTCAAAAGAGAGACTATTTTTCACTTAAGTAAACCGCTTTAACAAGTATCATGCCTGACAAATTATTACCCTCAGCAGACCCACAAAACAGTACTTTGACAACCAGGAAGAACCATGCATGGCCATTTCATGATCATATGACTACAAGGTTTATATACTATTGTGGCAAGACATGATAGGATCCAGGAGAAGTCAAAGGCAATTTAAAAATTTGACAGTGACACAACAAACCCAAGATGTCCCAAGAGGCACTGATGTGACAGTTAGTTGGTATTTTTGCAGAGAGAAGAAGAGAATATTGTTCTGAAACATAAGTCACAGGACTAGGATCAAGTCATTACACTGCTGACTGAAGTGCTTCGAAATGATATTTCCAGACAAGGAATTTTATTCATGTGCATACTCATTCCCCACCAAATATGTTCTAATATTGCTTTTTGTTTTAGTCTCAATGATGTTAAGCTTATGTGGGAGAAGGAGGGAAAACAAAGTGATCACATGATAGAATACTGGAAATTTTTGATTCTTTGGTCCTGGAAGTAGAAATTATATAGTAACCATCCTGCTTTCTGGTATGCATCAAAATAACTCAAGATCTATAAATAACTTCTCATGCAAAAAAATACGTCTTCCAGTGCTATTTGCAGTTTTCCCCTTGCAGGAATTTTGTTAAGGATAACTGTTAACATATTCTATTTTTCCTTGTTCAAAACTGAAACTGGGATGCAAAACATTAGGAAAATCGGTTGGTTGAACTGCACAAAAATAATAAAAATAAAATTTAAAAAATCATGGATGATGCCTCCCTTCTTCTTGGTACCAAAAGCTTCAAAAATAGCAGGCCATTTTTGAACTCATGAACTTGAGCCTTCCCGAGACAAGTGCAGCAGTCTCTCTGCCACTCCTCTTTTCCAGATCTCACAGCAGTCTAAAAGGCATAGTCATAGAGATCAAGATATCAGTTTGACATGTTTATGGAACTGCCGGCTACTATGTCGCGGACAAATGCAATTTGGAAGGCTTCCATCACAGGTACCTTCAGTAACGCTCACTCACATGTTAACAGCCAAATTTACCCTTCAGTTTCTTCACCATGTCCTGACTGGTGGAGTAGAGACATCTGTGATATTACTTTGTTTGTTCCACGAGACAGACGGTCTTGATCTGTATTTGCAGACAAGGAGGCCATGGAAATAGGCTGCAGCAATGTGGGCGTTATTCCAGAGGTGACGGTCAGATTATGAGTAGCACCTTTGAGGGTAAGATCTTGTGTGGGAAGTAGTGGCTTAAGGATGCTAACAAGGCAGAAAGCGGAGCCACTTTTAGGAATGAAATTTACTTTATTCTTGTCAGGACAGTAAAAGGCTGGAATTTCATGCAAGGGCTTTGGCCTAGAAACAGAAAGACAAGAATGCAAAAGATGTAAAGTTTAATATAGAAAGCTGCATGTTCCCATGGAATATATGAGTTTTGACAGTTTAACTACACAAGCAAAACTGAAAAATCACCATGTAAACATTTGTGATAGGTCATTTTATATACAGTTTTTCATAAGAGCACCACTAGGTAAAGGTAAAGGTTCCCCTTGACAATTTTTGTCCAGTCGTGTCCGACTCTAGGGGGTGGCGCTCATCCCGCTCTTCACGCCATAGAGCCAGCGTTTGTCTGAAGACAATCTTTCCATGCTCAGATGGCCAGTGTGATTTAGACACGGAACACTGTTTACCTTCCCACCGAGATGGTACCTATTTATCTCCTCGCATTTGCATGCTTTCGAACCGCTAGGTTGGCGGGAGCTGGGACAAGCAACGGGCGCTCACTCCGTCGCGTGGATTCGATCTTACAACTGCTTGGTCTTCTGACCCTGCAGCACAGGCTTCTGCGGTTTAGCCCACAGCGCCACCACGTCCCCTAAGAGCACCACTACATCATCCTAATTCAGTCCATTTTTACTGCTCTACAACAAGAGTCAGCAAACCTTCTTCAGTGCTGCAGATATTTATGACTGCAAGACTATAAAACGTGGCCCAACAACATCTGGTTTACAACTCTGCCACCCTAGTATGCCATGATCGCTGTGTTGGTTCCAGAGATTCAAGAAATATGCAATAGGCAAGCAGATTCTCTGCTATTCAAACAACATAAAAACACAAAGGATTCTAAATCACAAGCAGACCTCCCTAATCTATACATGTCAACATTACATTATGTGAACATTAGGATAAAAGTGGAAGTTTATTAATGCACTTGCCTTCAAAAAGTTGCTGATGAGCCTTGACTACAGAAAATAAAACTTTCAATGAAAAAAGCTAAATATCAACAACCCAAGTCCTCCATTTTTCAAGTGTGCAGTGCTTTTATTTGCCTTCTAGACATTCTCTATTCACCTACTCCTTCCTCACCCTCTAAAAATCAGAATTCTGTACCCATCAAACATACTCAGTCCTAACTGCTTGTACTGGTCCCCCACGTCAGCTTTAGTGTATTAGTGATACGTGAACATATCTATCTATCTATCTATCTATCTATCTATCTATCTATCTATCTATCTATCTATCTATCTATCTATCTATCTATCTATCTATCTATCTATCTATCTATCTATCTATCTATCTATCTATCTATCTATCTATCTATCTATCTATCTATCTATCTATCTATCTATCTATCTATCTATCTTACACACACACATCTGTGTCCAGCTATATATATATAGCTGGACACATATGTGTATATATATCTTTGATTTTTCCACTGATGTCCTCTGTTTTGTCCCTATTGATCTGTTATAATATCAATTAATTAGTGCCAGATCCAGGACAGCTGATCTTGTTGCTTCTTCTACCTTCTGCAGATGAAACTAGCAACAAGGTAAGTGAGAAGTTTCTTGGACCAGAGTGTCTTGGCAGAGATAGACTTCTGACATATATCAGAATAGCTCAAGACTCTCCTGATTGCTATGTGCCTTCTCTTTGAATGTTTGTTAATCTGATATAGGAGGGTATTACCCAGATCCTTAGTCTTTTTAGGAGATCATAAGCAAACTCCTCCTGCCCCCGTGATGTCACTGTTGTTTTTTATCTCAATGCTTTCCATCAGCATTTTGTGTTCCAACACATTGGCCTCCTCATAGTTGTATACATCCTTTACATACAATCCTGTTCTTCCCTCCGTTTCACCTCTTCCTTTTGAAAAAGTTATACCCTACAGACAAAATACACATTTGATGCAGTTTAATGTAGCACATGCATTAAAAAGGCCCTCAACATCAAATAACACTCAATTTTTGCTTTAGTGCTATTAGGTACCCCTAACAATTTGAGCCACGCATGACAACATAAAGCAATTACTGCAGATGTGACATCAGAGGAACAATCCACCATGTGTTATGCTGCATGTATCTACTGACTAGCTAGTGAGTGTGCTTCTCAAATAAAAAGGGCCTAAAACTTTGTGGTCTTCTAAGAAAGGTGCCATGAGATGTCCTAAATTTCTTCTCTCAAAACACTTCTTATAAGTTGGCATATCAGTTTGGTAATTAGTAATGCAGATGCCCAGGGGATCAGAAGATTAAAACCCATCAGCTTCAGTGTTATACAGTAATGTACTTGTTTATAGTGAGATTTTCCTTTCCCTTTTGTCTGGAGTGCTATCACAATAAGGAAATTGAATGCTGGCGAATTAAATAAGAACTCTGCATCCTGTGGTGCATCCCCCAGAGGGACGTGGTGGCGCTGCGGGCTAAACCGCAGAAGCCTGTGCTGCAGGGCCAGAAGACCAAGCAGTCGTAAGATCGAATCCACGCGACGGAGTGAGCGCCCGTTGCTTGTCCCAGCTCCCGCCAACCTAGCAGTTCGAAAGCATGCAAATGCAAGTAGACAAATAGGGACCACCTCGGTGGGAAGGTAACAGCGTTCCGTGTCTAAGTCGCACTGGCCATGTGACCATGGAAGATTGTCTTCGGATAAACGCTGCCTCTATGGCTTGGAAACGGGGATGAGCACCGCCCCCTAGAGTCGAACATGACTGGACAAAAATTGTCAAGGGGAACCTTTACCTTTACCTGCATCCTGTACAAGTTTTCCATTTACAGAGAGTTGGAACCATAAAGAGAGGTTACTTACCTGTAACCATGGTTCTTCAAGTGGACCTCTGTGAATTCACACATATGGGTTAAATCAGCGCCTGCGCTGGAACTTCGGAACCTTCTAGAGCTTTTCTGAAAAAGATACATAGTTTAGATTGCCCCTTGCACGCATGCTCCATTCCCCCCAGCCTTCAGTTCCATTTATCCGCCACTCTAAGAGCATAAGCTTAAGTACATTATAAACAGTGACGGATAGTGGGGAGGCCGGGTGGGGATGTGTGAATTCACAGAGGTCCACTTGAAGAACCATGGTTACAGGTAAGTAACCTCTCTTTCTTCAGCGTGGCCTCTGTGAATGCACACATATGGGTGACTGGCAAGCTCACTTACCGGAAGGAGGGCTGTCACTGTAAGACAGATGTCAAGACAGCCCTTCCAAAACCTGTCTCCCTCTTTGCCTGAAGGTCCAGTCTGTAGTGGGTGACGAATGTGGACACTCTGGACCATGTTGCTGCCTTGCAGATGTCCGGAATGTCCACACCATGCAGTAAGGCAGTAGATGTTACCATGGACCTTGTAGAATGTCCTCTAAGACCTTCAGGCACAGTCCTACCAGCAAGTTCATAGGCAAGAGTGATGGTGGAGACAAGCCACCTGGACAAGATGGAAGATGATGCTGGAGAACCCTTATGCGGTCCATGAAAACACAGGAAAAGTCTTTCAGATTTACGAAAGTCTTTTGTCCTAGAAGTATAGTATGCCAGGCCTCTCCTGACATCGGGGGAATGGAGCATCTTTTCGACGTCAAACGAAGGATCAGGAAACAAGGTAGGTAACGAAAGAGGTTGATTAAGATGAAACTCCGAAACAACTCTGGGTAAGAACGAAACATCTGGGAACAACATAACTTTGTCCTTCTAGAATTGCAAGTAAGGAGCATCAGACCTCAAAGCTGCTAGCTCACTTGCTCTTCTAGTGGATGTAACAGCAACCAGAAAAAGTCTTAAATGATAAAAGTTTGACATCACATGAAGCCATTGGTTCAAAGGGATGCTTCATGAGAGACTGCAGTACCAATGTTAAGGACCACTGAGGTACCGGGGGTTTAGTAGGAAGGCGAATATTGACCAGTCCTTTCAAAAACACCTTCAAAGTTGGGTTTGAAAAGAGACGAGAGGATTCTGAGTCTCTGGGCTGATATGTACACCTTAAGAGTAGATAAGGTAAGGCCCAAGCCAAAGAGATGTTGAAGGTATATCAGTAACGTCTTTAGAGATACTGGTGACACCTTGAGGTTCCTAGAAGCAGTAAACTTCAGGAAATTGTTCCACTTATACTTGTACAACAGAGTAGTAGAAGGTTTCCTAGATCTTTCTAAAACCTCTCTGATCTCTGGCAGATCTTTCACGCTGCAAGGTGGAGGGACTTCAGGTCTGGATGCAAGATGCTCCCCGAGTCCTGTATCAGAAGATGTGGAAGTAGTGGAAGCTTCAGCATGTCCACTGCCAAGTCTCTCAGAGTAGAGAACCACGGTTGACGCGGCCAGCAGGGAGCTATGATGATGGCTTGTGCTCGTTCCTGCTTGAGCTTGACCAAGGTCCGCTGGATCAAGGGAATTGGTGGAAACAGGTAAAGTTGTTCTCGCCAGGGTATCATGAAGGCATCTCCCAGGCAGCCTGGACCCCTGCCCGCTCGAGATGCATATCTGTCGCACTTCCTGTTTGTGTGAGAAACGAACACGTCTATGGATGGTTGACCCCACCTTCTGCATAGCATCTGGAATATGCTGTCGTCCAGCTCCCACTTGTGGGACTGTCCCTTCAGGTGACTCAACTTGTCTGCCAGCTGGTTGTCTGATGTTGAGATGTGGATCACCACTGGGTAGATGTGATGGAGGCAACACCACTCCCACAGGTGCACGGACAGGTAGAGTGGTGACATTGACCTTGTCCCTCCCTGCTTGTTGATGTAGTACATGGTCGTGGTGTTGTCTGTCACAACCTGAACACCACGACCTGTATCAGTGGGAGGAACGCTTTGAAGGCCTGAATCACTGCCAGCATCTCCAAGTGGTTGATGTGGAGTCCTTTGTGCCTCTGAGTCCAGAGTGCATGTATTCTGTGTCCGTTGCAATGTGCACCCCAGCCTGTGGGACTTGCATCTGTAGTTACTTGCACAGATAGCTGTAGTGGACGAAAAGGATGCCCCATCATGAGATGTGGTAGGAAACTCCACCATTTGAGTTGCTTTGCCAACTCTGGGGTGACCAGAATCTGTTTCCAAGGGTCGTCGCAAAGTGCGTCG